GATCAGTACCTGATCTCTGGCTATTCTTGGCCTTGGCAGCAGCCTTTGCTTCTCCTGCTCCTCCGGGAGCCTGGTGCTTGGGAAAACGGCCTTGAAGGACCTGCAAGAGGTGCCATGGAAGCATGCGCATGGCAAAGAGCGCTGCTTGGTGGATCACTGGTTGTTGCCACGCTGCTGCTGCATTGGTGAGAACTCGTTGAACTTCAGCATGATGAATGCTGGGCAAGAAACTACTCTCTTGCAATGGTCCTGGGTGATGGATCTCAACCCCTGCCTTCTGAAAGCAAAGCCAGAGAAGTGTCCAACCGCACAGGTGAGGATCAGCTTGAAAATCCCGAAACACGATGTGTGGGACAGGATCAATGCCAAGATGCTCGCAAATGGCTGTTGCACAGGCAATCGAATGCGGTCGAAGTTCAGCAGGGCCGGTAAGGAAGATCCACTGCGCGCAAACAGTGGATTGCACTTCACACAAAATCCAATGTGTGTTCCACAAAACAAGGCCAATGATCTTCTGATATGAATGGACGGAGGTCTGCAAGTCGTTGAAGGTAGTGGCACCACCTTCAAAAGTCCATTGCATGGGAGGAAGGTACGCAGTATCCGGATCATGTTGCCGCAGGAAATCGAGCAAGTAGTCAGCAGTGTCAGAGAAAAGCCATCCTGGCTGCGTGTCAAACAGCTGAAGCCGATCAAAGACACGAGAGGCAGGCAAAGCACTGACAGGGTGGCTGCCGATGGTAACAGGAGCACTGCTAGAAGAGACATCCGTAAGAGCTCCACCTCTTGCTCGCTCGGAGGGGACGCGATTCTGGATGATGCGCGTCATGAACTCAAGTTGGATAGCTGAGGCAAACTCGAGCAACGCCGGTTCAGCATTTTCCCAGACAGCATGGTCACGCAACTGGATCTGTTGGATAAGCTCATAGTGAGGGTGTGCCCTCAAAGCAGCAAGCAGTGGTTGTGATGCCTGAGAGGGTCGCGTTTGGAATCGTTGGAACAAAGTCCAAAGCAAAGTCCATCCGCACAAACCAGGCAAGGCGCGAAAGTGAGTGGTGGCAGTGTTGAGGACAACATCCTGGATTTGAAACAGCATGCACACTGCAGCAACAATGCTGGTAAGGTCAGGCATGAGCTCGATGGGTCCAATGGTTTGGACGAAGGCTTCCCACGCATGAACAGTCACTTCACACACAATCCAATGCTCCTGCCACAGAATGAACACAATGAGGTTGCTGAAAGTCTCAGGAAGACATTCCAAGCCTGCGAGGTAAGATACCTGAAGCAACTCAGGTCTCCAAACAGCAGGTGGGCAGAAGCAGACCTGTGGGAACTGCCACCGAAGCAAGTCCAGGGCATGATCAAGCACATCCGAAGAAAGCCAGCCAGGTTGCTGAAGGCATTCAAGGAGTCTGTGGTGGACAGGGTCATGCCGAACAGGTTCTGGTTCCGGTTGTTCTGTTGATCCCAGTGTTGTTTCGAGTGGTGCTGGATCCTCCGGTGGAGATGGCTGAGACGCTGGCGGTTGCGTCTCAGGGGTCAAGGTCTGGGCTCGGAATTGGACTGATAATGGTACCGGCACGACCGACGAGGTCTGGGTGGCCGTGGCAGCGAGATGTGTGAGGAAGTGTGTCCTCAAGTTGGTTGCAAAGAGGAGTAGGCCATCATTGGCGCCCGCTCTTCTCCAGTCTTCTTGGCCGGATTCCCAAGCCTCCCTGATTTCGGCTCTTCGGGTTGGCGGCAGCTCGTTGAAGAGCTCGACAGAGCTGGGAAGCGTATCATGGATGCGGCGTATTCTGTAGTAGCGAAAGAGCAAGAACCAGCCGCAGAGATGTTCTGGTGGTAGCCCTGCATGGATGTGTTGCTGGGCACGGTGTGGAGCGATATCAAGGAGGCGGCGCATGATGATGATGGCTCGATTGGCGAGCGGTGGAGTTAGCCCGAAAGCGTGGACCTGAATGAGATTGCCCATCCGGTTGACTTCAATGGAGGCCCAGTGATTGTCGACAAGAATTGCCGTGACCGTTCTGCCTGCGCTTGCAAATCTGGGTTCTCCGTAGAGCTCATCATCAAATTCGTGTCCGTCAGAGTTCCATCGCAGGAGGTTGAACTCAGCAATGGTCTCGGGGAAGTGCCTGGTCAGGTATGTCATGGCGGAGTGGAGTTCGTCCGAAGCAACCCACCCATGTGTGTTGATCGCAAAGGCGATCCTGTCAGTGAAGGTGGCCCCACGTGGGAGGCTTTCTGGTCTCTCCGTCCAACGATGGTGGCCCCCAGCGTGGATGGTCGGAGTAGGCTCAATGATCAAGAGGTCACCATTGGCAATGTGGAGTGGTCCCACAGAGCATGGCCTGTTGTTGTGACTGCAAATGGTGTAGTTACCGTCACCAGCGATGATGCAGGTGTCATGTGGGATCTGCTTGGGGACTGCTGCAACTCGAACCCAAACTTCGGTTTGGAGTTTCTGGAAAACAACCAGCGCATCATTGGGATGATTGCGGAGCCTCACAGTGAAGAGAGGTCCTGGTGCAATCTTTGGGAGAGCGAATGGGCTCTGGAACACGGTGTAGGTGCCAGCACCAAAGTGGGTGGCAAGTTGCTCTTGGAGGTCCGCAGCCGGGACAATGGTGTCAAGCTGGACGGTAAGCACGCCAGGTGGAGCTTCCCAAAGGAGGGAGACCAATTGCTTGGATCGATTGGAGGCAGGGTGCCAATGAGTGTTGAACTCAAGAAAACGCAGCAGTGCCTGGAAGGCCTCAGGAGCAGGTTGAACCGGTGGTGAAGTCTCAATCGTGATGGGTTGTGAATCCTCGCCTGGCACAGTGAAGGGCAGAGTCGGAGACCCCACAGCATCTGACGCAGAACTCTCATGTGGACACGCAGAGACAGGCCGAAAAGAAACCAGGGGACGGTCCCAAATGAAACATAGGACCTGCGGAGTGACAGCGAAAGCATCCTTCAGTGTAATGTCACTGAGCAGCATGTGGTCCTTAGTGCGAAAGCGAAAGGCTTCAGGCATGATTCCTTTGGTGAACATCGTAAGAATGACAGCGGTGGACAAGGAAGTCTTGGGTGGGACTTTTGCTTGCCATGTCATCTGGTTGTGGCAGTGTTCAATCTCTAGCGAAATCAAAGGACCATCAAAGGACAAGGGCAAGGTCCTTGGTACCATGCAGGCAGCAATGTCCTCGACCCTGCTGGTGGTGAGCCACTGTTCGAAGACTTGCACAAGGGCATTCTGACTGGTGAGACGCTGTTCCCACGCCTTTTGAACAAGTTGTACTGGTGCCAGGTCCTCAGCAAGGAGCGCTTGAAACCCAACAGCAAGGCACAAGGTCGCCTGTGATTGAGTGATGGCGTTTCCAAGGATGTGGAATGCAAAGGATGCATCACTCGGAAGTACAATCTTGTCTGTAGTGCCGAACAGTGGGACAAACCGTGTAGGGCATAAGAAGCACACTTTATCGGCAACGATCTGCGACGAAGCGAAAATGCCCTTGGCCATGACATGTTCAGCTTGCAAAAGGTGTTGCCTGGTGTATGAACTGCACAAGGTCGGCAAGGGCTGAGTGGTGTCAGCAAGCCTCAGTTGAAGCGTCTCCTGCGTGGAGGTCTCAGCATTGGTCCTGGCACGTTTGGCAGGTGGGAGTAACCCTGGGTTTCCGTATTTCGAAAGTGCCTCCGCTGACAATTGAAGCTGGCAGTGGAAAGATTCTGGGGTCCAAAATTCATTGGATGGATCATTCCATTTTACCAGTGGCGGTGCCCGAAGGTCGAAGTTTGCTTCATGGGGTCGAAGGGCTAAATCCACACGAGCCCAAACTGCAAGCCATCTGGAGCGAGAGTTATTGGACAAGTGGTGCATTGCAACAACTTGGTGCCAAACCTTACGGTACCCAATAAGATGCAACATGTTCTCCACTAAGGGGAAATGCTCGTGTGAGACTGTGGTATCTGCGCACTCCAAAAACAGGAGAAGTGGTTGGTGCACTTCAGCAAGCATGACTGTTTCAGCCATCGCGAAACCGCTGGAACAGCTCAAGCCCTGGCGTTTGCCGCCTTGCGACCACGAAATGCAGGGTGGTGAAGCGGTTGCAACGGAGTTGCTTGCACATTTCCAACAATGCAGGATCGTGGGATCATCAACGCTCGTACACAGGCCAGCTTTGGCAGCTAAGTTCACCTGTCCAGCACTCACTGATTTGCCTCTGTGGTATCTCAATCCTGTCTGGTAGGACCACACATCCATCACCTTGTCGTCGTTGTCCACGAAAAGCTCGGTGGCAATGCTGATGTGCGGAACCTCTCTGGCAAGCCAGTGCATAGCCCGGGACCAGCCACCGAATCCTCCTGCAAATAAGTGCAGCACATGAAAAGGTTCATGCGGCTTGAAATGAGCACGGGGAATAATGATGGTGTCCTCCGCCAATGCAAGAGCATCCCAACACTCTGTGCGGATTTGTTTCCCATGGCAAACAATCTCATCATCCACAACGGGCAAAGCTGATCTCCGGCTCAGCCCAGGCACATAGATTCGAATCTTGTTTTGTCCCCCCGTAGGTTCAGCAAATCCACGGCCCGGACAAAATTCCAGAGGTGCAATCTCAATCACCGCATCTGTCACAGCTTCGACCTTTCCAACAAGGAGGATCCTATCACCAACATGCAGCAGGTGACCAGCTGAACGATGAGCCTCCAAAAAGGAAATCAATCGGCCTCTCCAAGGGTCCTCCAGGTGCTCAGCGTCCTGCAGCAAATGGTCAAAAGATCCAACCATGGCACTAACGGTCGTGAGGCACAACGAAGCTCACAGGCGAGTCGGCCAACGGCCTTGGTGGACGCTCCACCCCTGTCGGGAGACAGGCAGCAGAGCCGCGGGAACCCGGCGTGCCCTAAGGCAAATGGCTTTGGGCCAAGATGCCTAGATTGAACAACCTCTTCATATGGAGGTTTTATTCATCCAGAGTCTGCCAGTCCATATTACTGCTCGTGCCCCACAGGACTTCACCGAGATGCGCCTGTGACGCGAATGTGATTTCTCGGTGCGAGAAGTCACCTTGCGAGGTTAGAGGATCGGTTCACAGGTTGGAGATTCTGGCAGGGATCCAAGTACTGTATCCAGATTTGAGCCAAGAGTTTCTGACTCTCAACATTACAATATTCTAGAAGTTTGGATTCCCTAACTCAACATTTGAGCCACATGCACTTTCGCACATCCTCTGGCAAGCCTCCGGATCGACGGCTTGCCGTCCGGGTTCACCGCTTGCAACCTGAGAAGGTTTGAGTTGCCGAGGTTTGAAACTTTGACGACATTGGTTGAGGGGTTTGGTGTGGCTAACAGAAGATAGCTGAAGGGCCATCCCCAGCCAAAGAACCATGGTCGACCACTGCATGGCAGATATTGGAGTGCATCTGAGGTTCTGTGCTTGGAATGTAAGCCTGAATGTCAGCCAAAGGATGTTTTGGCCCCTTGTTGTGGATGCAGCCCCGATTGGAAGGATTTCGACACCATCTAGGAGTGTCGTGATACGACAGAAAGATATCATATATCAGGTGGCGGGCAACATGGAGGAGGCCTCTGAAATAATTATCGGAGAGCCAATGGCCAAAGGCTTGGTAAGTTTTTCACAACATGTACAGCCCAGAGCTGCAAGAAGCAAAGGTAGACGAATGTCCGGGACAGGGGGGACCCACAAAATAGATCAATGTTGACAGCATTTGACAGCAAGATCTTGCAGAAAGGCGTCGGCCTTTTGCTTCGGTCTCTTCCTTTTTCGCTGTGCTGTAACCAGTAGCGCGGGGGCGACCGATAGCGCGTTCGGTTCGCAGCGTCACTCGCTGTGGCTCGCCCTTCCTCGGGCAGTTCAGCGAAGGCTCTCGAGAAGCGACAGACTGGATTCAAAACTCCGCCTCGATGTGGGTTCAAACTCCAGTACCGTTTGCTTTGAAAAGCAACCTGGACATCGCTATTAGGTTGGAGGCCATTGCTAGTAGGTTGGAGGCCGGCCAATCTGGGCTTTTGAAAAACATTTGACAACATGAACTGTCACTCCCAGGGCGTAGTTCCTTGAGAGATGGAGCCTACCACGTGACGCGAGCGGGCCCAGCCCATATGCGGATATATGCGGTCCCGCTTTTTCCACGAACGCGTCGTTCGCGAGAGAGGTGAACGAGGTGATGCCGCCAATTGAACCTGAAGGATCTTGATGCTTCTTTAACAAGGATGGTTATGTGAGTTGAAAGCAAACCTAATCAACAACTGTGTTGAAAGGACTCGATTTCCCTTTGACCTGAAGCATTTGGCGATATATTAAATAGTCTCAGGCCTCATGCAAGAAAATCATGTACCAAGTTGAAGCTACACTCCCCAAAACCCGGCAGTCGTAGCGGCCGGGACCGGTATCCCTAGCGACATGGTCCCGGGCGACATGGTCCTTTTGGGGGGGTTGCATGGTCGTACTGAGCAACTCTGTAGAGAGATGGCGGTATTGCCGCTTGACCTTGACCTTCGAAACAAGCCTCACACACCGAAAAGAACGCTGACAAGGGTTTCTTGAACTACTTGCCTTGTCTTTTGGCGAACTTGAATGTTGCTCAAGCAGTCCAGTGGAGGTTGTAACTGACACATTTTGAACATGTAAATTGAATGTATAGCTGCACATGATTCCTTTGATGCCAACGACCAAGAGTGCTTTTACAGTAGTGTGTGGGGAACTAATCCGGCCATCCAAAGCCTATGAGTCTATGACGGAACCCAAGGCTGTTGTCCCGATCACCAGCAAAGCCGACATTCGAAGAAACGGGGTGAGCAAGACGTGAGCAACTCATTGAATGGAGCGACCATCCTACGATGGTCATGGCAAAAAGTTGCAGTATACTGCCACTTGTACTGGTATATAAGGTTCGCCTTTGTTTCCTTGCTCACACCACTCGAATCCCAAGCACTTTAAAGGGTGCCAGATTTCCACAAACGCGGTGTTTTTTTTGCGGTGGAAAAGACTCGAACAATCAAGTCAGAGAAACTCTGGCTTAGAAGCATGTTTGCCTTAATTTTTTTCTTGAATGAGCCAGATGTTCAATAGCCGTTATTCATAGAAAACGTGAGAGAGCAACCAAGATACACTGGGGCGTCAACCCTGGATAGTTGATGTCAGCTCCACAGGGACATGATTCCTAGAAGCTTGTTGAAGGCAGCTGTTTTTCCCCACCTGCCAGGTTAGGGTCTTTAGATTTTAACAATGGTGCTACTCCTTCTCCTTCCTTCTCCTTCCTTCTCCTTCCTTCTCCTTCCTTCT